GGGGTGAGGACAGAGAGAATGACTCATAAAAATTTAGAAATCTATACTCATATTATTTTTAAGTATTTTTAATTTCTTGCTCTACTTTAAAGAAAACTGGAAAAAGAGTAATACCACATATTAATAATAACTGCTAATGATGACTGAACATTTAATATACCCCAAGAATTAGTCAAAGCACTTCAAATATATCACATTTGTTTAATCTTTATCATCATTTGAATTAGTACTATTATCATAATATCTTCTGGAAAAACCCAAGTGAATTTTTTGGCCAACCCAATATCATCCCCATTTACAGATAATAGAAACTGAGGCACAGAGAGTTAGGTTGCCCAAGGTTACATTATCCATAGAGGTGGAGGCCAGCCAGCCAGTCTGGCTTTTAACAGCTATGCTGATGCAACGCAGGTGTAGTTTATACATGAATGAAAACACAAAATGCCAGTCACTGGACTCTTAAAAGCTTTAGACCCTCATCAAAGGATTAACAACTAAATACTGCCATAAATTCTAGGTTTTAAAGCTTCAAATTTACAACTATAATTTTTATTATTCCCTTGCTTTAACTGACTTTATTTTAATACCAGTGCAATCACATTGGTGACAAAGTTTTGCCTTCTACAAGGGTGAAAGTCGTAGTCTTAAATACTAACCAGAATGAGAGTTGAGGTCTATATACACTGGAATAGGGATTTATTGTAGATACTTAAGCAGGAGTGTGACAGGATTTAATTGATGATTTGGAGGAGCAATCTGGCAGTGAGGCCTGGATTTTTTTCTTTTTTTTAATTGGTATATAATTGCTTTACGATGTTAATTTCTGCTGTACAATGAAGTGAATAGGCTAAATGTGTACATATATCCCTCCCTCTTAGATCTCCTTCCCACCTCCATCCCCCATCCCACTGTGCATCCAGGTCATCACAGAGCACCAAGCTGAGCTTCCTATGCTTTATATATAGCAGGTTCCAATTAGCTATCTAAAATGATACAACAGATGAACAGAATTGGAGAATTCACTCTGATAATATATCAATTGCTGTATAAATGTAAAAAAGTGGTTTAGTTACTATTCAGGTTTAAGGTTTTATTGATCTTAGGATATAGTCTCAGACCCATTCCATTTCTTCCTTCCTTCCCTCATTTACTTACTTATTTAACAGCCAGCCACTGGGTACCTACTATGTACTAGTGATACAGATGGAGAAGGCAATGGCACCCCACTCCAGTACTCTTGCCTGGAAAATCCCATGCATGGAGGAGCCTAGTAGGCTACAGTCCATGGGGTCACCAAGAGTTGGACATGACTGAGCAACTTTGCTTTCACTTTTCCTTTTCATGCATTGGAGGAGGAAATAGCAACCTACTCCAGTATTCTTGCCTGGAGAACCCTAGGGACAGGGAAGCCTGGTGGGCTGCCATCTATGGGGTTGCACAGAGTCAGACATGACCGAAGCGACTTAGCAGCAGCAGCAGCAGCAGCAGTGATACAGTGATGAAAAAGACAGACACAGGCTCTGCCATCACAGAGCTTTTTAAAAATTTTTTAATATTTATTTGGCTGTGCTGGATCTTAGTTGCAGCATGTGGGATCTGGTTTCTTGACCAGGGATCAAACCCAGGCCCCTTTGCACTGGGAGCCTAGAGTCCTAGCCACTGGACTACCAGGGAAGTCCCAGAGTGGTTTATATTCTAGAGGGGGAGACAGAAATTTAACAAATGAATCCAGAAGTAGCAAACTATCACTGTAATGTGCTACCAAGGTAAAGTACAGGACACTATAGGAACAAACAGTAATGGGTCTTTGTTGTTTTTTAAATTTTTTTAGGAAAGAGTACTCAGGTGTTTAAACATAAGTCAATTAAAATGAAGATCTTAAGTGATATTTGGACACATTTCATTAACTCATTTGGCCTCCGCAACAATGCAGCAATGCAGTAAAACTGATATTATGTCTAGCTACCCAATGTTTGATTTTAACTATGTACTGGACTATATTCTAGGAGTGTAACATACAGCAATGAACAAGACAGAAAAGGTCCTTGCCTTGTTGCAGTTTGGATGTATCACCTCATTGCCACCTTTACTTCTGAGACAATCAAATATATTCCCCCTTAGATAGGGATTCATCCTATTTCTTCTTTTTTGGTTATTATAACTTCCCAGGGTTACAGATTAATAATTTTTTATCTACTAGTAATTTTTCATATTTAAAGATAAGATCATATATATATGAAACACTTTCAGTGGTGCCTGGTTAGATAGAAGTTCAGTAACTGTTAATTACTGTTTAGAATTGCTGTTATTATTACAATGCTTAATCTCATGTCCTTTCTGGTACACAGGATTTCATTTCTTGAATTAAATTCCATACACGTTTATTGTAGGCATATCACAGGATTTGCAAACTCTTTTGTGGAAATTACAAGATCAGTGAAGAAAAATCTCTTTAATATTGTCTATTTCTACCTTCCATGCTTAGCTATGTGATCTTGGATAAACCTCAAGCTCTGTAAGCCTTGGGTTCCTCATGTTAAATATATAGATAGATATATACCTATCTTTTCAGCTGTTGTCAGCAGAAGTGGACAGCAGACTGTGTGTGTGTGGGGGGGGTGTTGGGGGAATCAATAAATGTTAGCCACAAAGAATAACAATTCTAATACTCTAAAAAGCAGACACTGGGCTAAAGTTTATGCATGCTTTCCGATAAACATGAAAGACTAAATAATGAGAGGTTTCCCATCAAATTAAAAAATTAACAGGCATAATTAGACCACTGAAAAGAAACAAATCAGGAAAATTTAACACTTTTGCTCCACTGAAAGTGTTTTCAATGGTGATTGTTAATTTGAAACAATGAGTCCTCTCCTTCTTTAAAGTGATTCACTAGACCCGCAAGGAAAAAAAAAAAGTGAGATGGGAGAGTTAATTGGGAACGCTTGTAAAAGCAGATGTTATATAAATGCAGGGTGCCAACCACCTGCAATATGAACAGGTAAGAGGGATGAGGTGTTTGTTTTTTAAGAGCAGAGATTCAACTATGAAACAGGGTTATGGTATGGGAAAAGACACTTTATTAGATAAGTTAGGGTCCCCTTACATATGTGTTTTGTTGTTTAGTTGCTAAGTCGTTTGGGATTCTTTTTACAACCCCGGGACTGTAGCCCACTAGGCTCACCTGTCCATGGGGTTTCCATGGCAAGAATACAGGAGTGGGTAGCCATTCCCTTCTCCTGGGTGTCTTCCCCACCCAGGAAGTGAACCTGCATCTCCCACATTGGTAGGCAGACTCTATCACTGAGCCACCAGTAAAGTCTGCCCTCCCCCCCTTTATATATGTATATGCTTAAATACTTCAATAATTCCTAATATGACTTCTAAGCAGATGTACAAGGATATTCATTTCAGTGCAAGTTATGTAACTCACTTTTGAAACATAGTAAGGTAACACTGTAGGTTTGGGTCTTGACTTTCTTTCCATGAAGCTGTTGGTTGTTTAGGGACCCATCGGGTAGACATGTGATTCTAGTATTTGAACTTGGAAGGTAAGAAACCGGGGAAGTAGGCAAAGCAGCATTCTTGGAGTCCATCACTTAGAGGCCACCGTGAGCACCCAAGACAAGGGCTTCCCTCCCGTTGACTACTGCCAAGGAAAAGAAAAGAGAAGTCATTTCTTCTGGATCAGAAGAAATGTTGCTAACAGAAGGGGTTTTGTTAGCAACTGGCTTGCTCAGTGCCCTTCATAAGAATTCTCCTGGCTGAAGGTTCTACGCTGGCAAAGGTCTTGGTTCCCTTCTTTCCTCCGGCGGTGAGCGTCTTTTCCTTTGCCAAGATGGTGGCCCTGGCATCATCTGGAGGCGGCCAGTGCAGATCGCCTCCGGACAGGTGGCTTGCTAATAACCTAGTTCTCCCCTGTCATCCTCGGACAACACACTGGGCAGCGTCCACCACCTCAGAACCAAGGATGAGCGACTTGAGCTGCCGGGTAACGAGAACCTTGGCCAAGATGGTGGACGCGCAGCCTCAGCTGCCTTTACCAAGATGGCGGCGGGCGGCTTCCGGCACGCGCTTACCCAATCCTCTGCAAATGTCAGGGCAGAGGAGCCGCTGCCAGTCTGGGTGCAGCCGGGGGAAAAGTAGCTGCAGCCGAGCGCCCGGGCAGGGCTAGGTGGAGCTGCCGCAGCCTCCGCCCCCGGCAGCAGCAGGCAAGCGATGTCACCTGTAGGGGCGCAAAAGTTACCTCCCCAAACCCTAAAGCAACACAAACACAACCTTTCCCCGAGTCACACAAATGGTAGTATGTGCCGCCCAAGGTAGGAGGCTCGACCCAGGCGTCGCCGTAGCCATCCCGAAGCGGCGAGCTTGGGGAGGGGGCGGGGGCGGGGGCTGGGGCGTGGGCTTCCCGCGCCGACTCCCCTCGCCCCACGCCCCTCTCTTTGGGGACAAGCCACGTGTTTCCCTCGGATGGAGGGGGAGGTGCGTAACGGGAACAGCTGGAAGGAGTTTAACGCTGACATTTTAAAGCTGCGTGTGTTCAATTTTATTTGGAGGGATTGGGGTCCCATGAACACGAAATAGTGAGCAACGCACTGAGGCGAGTGCAGCAAATGTCAAGATTCCGGGGAAGGGCCTCCGCGGGAAACTTGGACGTGGGCCCCCGAGGCGGGTGGAAGGAGAGGTCAAGAGTTGGGGGTGGCGGGGGAGGAGGGCGTACTTTGCAAGCAACTTACTATTTCGCTTGCAACTTGCTTTTAGGCTTGCCACCTCCTGCTTTCCTTAAAAATAATAAAAAGTGCAAAGAAATCTAGTTCGCCGGAGGTTTTGCATTTGGCGTGCAACTTCCTTCAAGTGTGAGCGCGCTAGGACGGAGGGAGGGATGGGGGTTGAACTTGGCAGGCGGCGCCTCCTTCTGCCGCCGCCGCCGCCTCGCAGACTCGGAGAAGAGGGTGGGGGACGGTCGCGGCGCGGGGGAGGGTGGGTTCTGCTTTGCAACTTCACTCTGGGTGCAAGCGTGCTCGGCGGGTGCAGACTGGGCCGCGCAGACGATGCGGGGGTGGGGGACCGGCCGGCACGCGACTCCCCGAGGGCCAAGAGTACGTATGAGCCGACCCCCTTCGCTGCCCGCCCCTCCCTGAAGCCTCCCCAGAGGGCGTGTCTGGCTGTCGGGTCCCGCGAGCGGCCGAGACGCTGCGGCACCGTTTCCGTGCAACCCCGTAGCCCCGTTCGAAGTGACACACTTCGCTCAACTCGACCCGGGGGCGGAGGCGCGGACCGGCCCCGCGGCTCTGCTGCGGCCGCGCCTCGGCTCCCCCAGCCAGCCCGCTGTCATCCGCAGGGGCGCTGACGGCGTTTGCCGCCGAAGGACCGAGCGAGCTCCGGAGTGGATCCGGAGTCGCGGAGTTGGGCGGGGGCGGGAAGGAGCAGCAAGAAGAGAAACTAGAGAGAAAACTCGGCTTCCCTCCGAAGCCTGCCCCAGAAAGGCCAGGTCGGCCCCGCCGGCGCCTCCTCTCCTTTTGCCTGGGGGGTGGAGAGGTGGGGGGCGAGGAGGAGGCCTGGGCGGGAGCCGCGCCGGGGGCCGCGGGCGGGCAGGCGCCGTCGCGGCCGGGGTGGCGGGGCCCGCGCGGAGGGCGTGGGGGCGGGGGCCGCGGCCGCTCCTGCAGTTGCCGAGCGTCGCCAACAGGTTGCACCGTTCCCCGCGCCACCGCGCGGCCCCTCAGGCGGGGAGCGGCCGGGGGTGGAGTGGGAGCGTGCGCGCGCGCGCGTGTGTGTGAGTGTATGTGTGCGCGCCGTGGCGCCGCCTCCGCCCGCCCCCCTCTCGGTCCCGTTCGTTCGCCGCGGCCGGGCGGCCCTTTCGCGTGTCCGCGCTGCCTCCCCTCCTCCTGTTCCTCCATTTTGCGAGCTCGAGTCTGTGACGGGAGTCCGAGTCTGTGACGGGAGTCCGAGTCACCGCCCGCCCGTCGGGGACGGATTCTAGTGGGTGGAAAGAGACGCCGCACCCGGAGCGGCGGAGCGCCGGCCCGGAGGACGCGCGCCCGAGAGCCCCGGCCCGCGAAGACGTGCGCGGGGCGGGGGTCTGGCTTGTCAGCCGGGAAATGGGAGACTTTCACAAATAGGGGCTCTCCCTTCCCCCTCATGGAGAAGGGGGCAGCTGTTTACTTCCTTTTTTTTAGAGAAAAAAATCTCTCCCTCCTGCTGCTCCTGCTTTCACACGCTAAGTTGTTTATCTCGGCTGCGGTGGGAGCCGCGGACGGTGGCGGGTGAGCGGCGCAGCCGGCAGAGGTAAGGGGAGGGCCGGGGGCCGGGGCCCGGGCGGGCGCTTGCTCCCCGAGGTGCGGGCCGGGGCCTGGAGGCTGGCTCGGGGGCGCCGCGGCAGCTCGCAAACTTTTATTAGCCTCGGGGAGTGGGGGTGGGGGCTGACGGGGCCGGGTGGCCGTGACGAAAGGGCAGCGCGCGGGTGACAGCGCTGGCCTCTTCCTCTCGCTGGGCCGCCGTCCCTCGGACGGGCCGAGGGGGAGGAACCCGAGCTCCCTGCGAGTGGAGCCTCGTCGAGCCGCCCCAGGTTTCCAGGCTCTCGCTCTCGTTCCCTGCAAGGAATCCTGGTTGGGTTTTTTTTCCCTCTTTCCTAGTCCCTTTTCTTGTCCCTCCCAGGGGGCCTCCATGACACTCATTTTTCTGGTGAACGTTGAGCGGCGTCTGAATTCTCGCCTGACTCTTTCCACTCCACCCTAGTGCGCCCGAGCGCGAGCAGGGTTTGTGTCGGGGCTCCAGTGCGTCTCCTTTCTGGCGGGCGCGCAGTGTGTGTGTGTGTGCGCGCGCGCGCGCGCGTGTACACACGCAGGGGGCTGACAGTCTGCGACTTGGAGACTTCGGCCAGGGCTGGCGTTATCTGGTGGAAGTGGGCGTGTCGGAGAAAGAACTCAACAGGTCTGGACACATTTCTCTCTTAACCTCGCACTTTTTTCCCTCTCCCCTCCCTCGGCCCCGGGTTTGTTCTTTAGCGCTGGGCATCACTTCGCGCCTGAAGGTTTGAAGTAGCCCCTTTTAGAAAAAAGACCCTCGCTAACGATAATAGTTTTGAGGTGCAGTTTTTGACAAGCGCTAGTTTGACGTTTTGAGATTGCAGACTCGACAATTGCAGCCTTGTAATGCCGCTTAAGACCCCTTGGCACGGTTCGTTAAGGCCGATTACTGTGACGGGGTTATTCGCAACTTGAACGGGGGGATAAAGTCGTTTGAGGTATCTTTTCGTTTTATGAAGTTTTGTTTTGGTTTCGAGTTTGAAGGCAGCTGTCAAAGCGGCGTGGAAATTCATTAGGTTCCATTTGATACCTTGTGTTTAGAGATCGTTATCAGATAAATACAGCAGAGGGGCGGGGAGAAAAGCAGTTTACCCTTGAGATTTATAGAGGCGGGTATCCACCTCTGCCTGCCTTCATCACATTCCACTTTTAGAGAGGACCAGTGAAGTTTGAGCATCTTAAAGTCTCCGTACAGGAAAGTTTTCTTTCTTTGAACGGGATTTGACTATAATGTCGCAAATAATGCTTATGGAAGAATACCTGCCTCTTAAAAGATCTGGATTGTCAATAACCTATCAACCTAACCCTCTTGAAAGAAGGCTCAGAATTAGGATAGGTTAAGCTTTAGAATGCGGAGCAAATTTTTTGAGCATTTTACTTGGATTTATATGAATGTGATTTTACAGGTCGGGGGTGGTTTTTGGTTTTGTTTGTTTTTCTTTGTTTTTTTCTGTATTTAGATATTCAGAACGGAAAAATTTTAATTTAGAGATTATAGTAGTATTTCATACTGAGGTCTTAAGCGGTTTAAAAACATGTAGTTTCATCAATAGATTCTATTGTGTTGTAAGGGTTTGAGAGAGCTATAGTTCTTGTACAGTATTTAAATAAGCTAAAATTGTAGTGTGAAGCTACTACACATTCTACTTTTTTAAATCTAAATTTTGATTAGTCTGTGTACAGTGCCTGTCATTTCATATGTCCAAAATTTGAAGGCAGGCACTATTAGGCACATTCAGTAGGAAATCTGGGTTAAAATAAGAGCCTTTTCCTACTCTATTGGAAGATGAGCAGACCATCATTGTTTATTTTTCAAATAAAATACATGGTTCACCAGTAGGTTGTACTAAAAGGTTTAGATGTGTGACCAGCTAGTAGGAGGGGAATTGAGGAGTAATTAGAAACAGAGAATTCTAGCATAGTGTTTATCAAATTGTACGTTTATTGGTTCTCAGAAAAGCTGATAACCTTGATTAGTTGAAAAGAAATGATGATACTTCCTTTTTTAAAATTAAATACTTTGACATCAGCTGGAACCTTTAGAATAATCAGATGTCATGAATTGTAATGCCTGTGATTAACACAGTTACCGATTTGTGAGTGGCAGGATGACTCGCCAGGCTTCGTTTGATACAATATTGTTCAGAGCTGGACAAATGCACCGCATTTGCATTGTACTTTTAAATGCGGTGGACTGAATGGGAGAGGAGCCTCTGCTTTTGTATTCTGGAAGGCAGAACCTATCCACTCTTTTGATAACAGGAATTAGATTGGGTGTTAACTAAAAGGTTCATTTAACAGGCTCTTACTAATCGGATCACAGAGACAATGTGATTTTGTAGCTTGTTATATCCCTTCTTTTTTGTAGCTGACACTCACTGATGGACCCCAAGGAGCCATTAAGTGCCCCCAGTAGAGAAGAAATCCCCAGCAGTGCGCTTGGTCGAGAGAGGGGAAATGTGATGGACTTCTATAAAACCCTGAGGGGAGGAGCTCCTCTGAAGGTTTCTGCATCTTCGCCCTCACTGGCTGCTGCTTCTCAGTCAGACTCCAAGCAGCAAAGGCTTCTGGTTGATTTTCCAAAAGGCTCAGGAAGCAATGCGCAGCAGCCCGATCTATCCAAGGCAGTTTCACTGTCAATGGGACTGTACATGGGAGAGACAGAGACAAAAGTGATGGGAAATGACCTGGGATTCCCACAACAGGGCCAAATCAGCCTTTCCTCTGGGGAAACAGACTTTCGGCTTCTGGAAGAAAGCATCGCAAACCTCAGTAGGTCAACCAGTGTTCCAGAGAACCCCAAGAATTCGGCATCTGCTGCTGTCTCTGCTGCCCCCACAGAGAAGGAGTTTCCAAAAACTCACTCTGATGTGTCTTCAGAACAGCAGAATTTGAAAGGCCAGAAGGGCAGTAACGGGGGTAATATGAAGTTATATACCACAGACCAAAGCACCTTTGACATTTGGAGGAAAAAGCTCCAGGATTTGGAGTTTTCTTCTGGGTCCCCAAGTAAAGAGACAAGTGAAAGTCCTTGGAGCTCAGACCTCTTGATAGATGAAAACTGTTTGCTTTCTCCTTTGGCAGGAGAGGATGATCCATTCCTTCTGGAAGGAAGCTCGAATGAGGACTGTAAGCCTCTTGTTTTACCGGACACTAAGCCTAAAATTAAGGATAATGGAGATTTGATCTTACCAAGTCCTAGCAGTGTGCCACTGCCCCAAGTGAAAACAGAAAAAGAAGATTTTATCGAACTCTGCACCCCTGGGGTAATTAAGCAGGAGAAACTGGGCCCAGTTTATTGTCAGGCCAGCTTTTCTGGGGCCAATATAATTGGTAATAAAATGTCTGCCATTTCTGTTCATGGTGTGAGTACCTCTGGGGGACAGATGTACCACTACGACATGAATACAGCATCCCTTTCTCAACAACAGGATCAGAAACCTATTTTTAATGTCATTCCACCAATTCCTGTTGGTTCAGAAAATTGGAATAGATGCCAAGGGTCTGGAGATGATAACTTGACTTCCTTGGGGACTTTGAACTTCTCTGGTCGATCTGTTTTTTCTAACGGCTATTCAAGGTAAGATTAATACTTTCTATTTCTTGAAAATGGTATGTTTAAGATCCGTTGATAGATTTAAACATTTATTTGAATGTATTCGACTGCAATTCAAGTGCTTTTTCATGTGAATAAGTTTAAGTGGTCTTTTGAAAGTAGGCTTGGTAGACAGACTACACGATTTATCCATATGGACAAAACCCTTTCAAGTTTTGTGTTTGTTTTTTCCGAAATAGTGGTATTTAGTATCCCATTGGACAGTGATTGAAAATTTTATGTAAAAATTTAAAATAATATTGCTCATTAGCAGCTAACTTTAGTAAAAGTGATGTAAATTCAGAGGGGGATAATGTGTGGAAACATATTTATTGTGCATATTTTTAAGTTGTCCTAAAATATGCTCTTCCGTGACAATGAAAAACACCTTTAATACTTACATAATCAAACCTTGTGCTATATTTGTACATCTGTGAAGTGTTAGCCTGGGGAAAATTAGAAGTACTAACAATAAACCCTTTTCTTCAAACTGTGAACCTTCCTGTTGAAGATGCTGAATTCTGAGATTACTAAAGCAATGCAGTGAACAGTTTACCTGACCTGAGTATTAGATGTGGGACAAAGTTCTTGACCCAGGGTAGATAAGTTATGTCTGCTGATTGGTTTCTTTAAGAAAGAAATTGGTGCTGAGTTTACTTTCAAATGTTCTTACAAGTTCTCAGATATATTTAAGCTTCTGTCTCAGCTATGTTTAATTTGTTTCTATCTTCTTTATTCTCCATCATTTATAAGTATACTGACATTTCTGTTTGACTCAAAAAGGTCTGTAAAAATGTAATTATCAAGAAAAAGTTCTAAATGTAGGTGAATCTGTTGGTAGGGGTTAAATGCTCTGTCCTGCACACCCATCACCAATTCAGATAAATATGTATCACATTTTAGGTGTGAAGGAAAATATAAAAATTAATGGTAGAGATACAAGACTGATTAATCAGTGTTACTTATTGAGTTGGGAGGAGGGCATAGTAGACACCATGATTTTTTTGTATGTAAGTACTTCAAGTTCTAAGATGTTAATAATGGTAGTCACTTCCCACTAACAAGTCGTTGAAAATTTTATTTACAATTTTAAAAAATACTTTATTAATGATATACCGGAATACTGAGGTGACTCTTCGTTCCTCTTTAATTAGGAAGCTTTGCTCGTTGGGGAAAAATTTTAGACTTAGATTGAGGCCATGTTCTATTCCTTTTAAAAGGCTTAGATGTTTCTTATAAAAGAAAAAAAAAAATCCTTGGTTCTTGTGTGTTTTGATGTAAACTACCTACTAATCTGTTACTTAAATAATAATTATCTTTTACTTAGAAGGTTTCAACTTTTTATTGCTGTCATTCTGAACTGAAGGTTTAAAATGTTTTCAGTAAGAAGATTGAGATGTTACTACATTAGCTTGTTGTGCTTCAGTCTTAAAAGACATGCTGTGTTTTAAATTTTTCAATTCAGTTTTTGGTAGTGGAATTCATGATTGTGCTTATTTGTCTTAAAAGAATAAGTGCATTTGATTTGACTAAGGTATTTGTAGGAAACTGCTACATTGATTTATAAAACATTTAATTGTACAAAGAAAAATAATATATCTTAGGAAACACTTGGTGATTATTAATGCTTTTTGTTCTGATACTCAGCATGGTATTGTTTTCATTTTCCTTACTGTAAAAAAGGCGTGGAACAAGAACTTCTCATTTTCTAATCACTTAACTTTCAGTAAGTGCTATAAAATCCAGGATCTGGAGAATAAGTCTTAAAGGAATATAGTTATTCTTAAATCATTAAAGATAGTTTTAATACTTTTTCATGTCGTTGATAACATTTAAGGTATGTCAGCCTCAACAACCATATGATCGTAGGCAAAACGATCATGTGGCTCTTTCAAGATTCTTTAATATTTAGTGAAATGATTATTCTATGCTGATGTGTGGTTTGGAATTATAATCAGTAGTTTTTGTCCTAATGAAAAGATGTAATATCTTTACAGGATAGTTTGAGAAGGTTTGAAAATTTTGTACTTGGTGGCATTATGTTAACATTGGGAACTGTGATTACCCTGAACAAAGCTTCTTCCAAGTAAATTGAAACAGTGTTTCTTTTTACCATCATTGAATTAGCCTATTGTTTCCAAACAGTAACCCTGATATAACTAAAATTGGTTGCTTTCTCTTCTCTATATGTTACATGGTTCTAGCCAAACTTTATGACTAGTGACCTTGAGTAATCGGCAGATAATCCAACATGATAAGACCACAACTATGTTAAATAATGACTTTCTGACTTTAGATACAGAAATATTAAATCCACTAATAACTTCACTTGCATTCTGTTTAAATTCTTTTAAAGCATAAATTGTAATTTGACTTTTTAAGATGTCACCTAAAATTGCTTTTTCTTAAAATGCTTAAAAACAGTTTTCACTCTCGTTTATGAGGGAAGGCAATTCTTCTGATGTATCAGCATAGTACAACATCCAGTTATTACATGTTGTAAAATTATGAGTATCACAATGGGCCATAGTAGACTATTTGAAGATTTAAGTTAATTGATAGTAAAATGAGAGGAACCTTATTGATACTCAGATACATTCTTTAAGTAAAATGCAGTAGCCATTCTACCTTAATATACTTTTTAAATACTGAAATTCAAAAAATTTACCATAAACTTGTAACATTGATGAAGGCACATTTCTGCATAATTGATTTTCAACGCTGTTTCACTTGAGCATTAATGATGCAACTGCTGAAAGGAGGCATAGAAGTAAGTGGTTTCCGGTGGAATTAAGAGGTTTTATTGGAACTGTTGAAAGTTTAGTATGAAAAATTTGATCATTTTCTGAAGTGTATGGTTATTGGAGAGAAAGAATGATACAAGATGAATTTGTTAACTAAGTCATAGGTGGAGTTTAAGGCTCTGTTGATTGGCATTTAATGAAGCTATGAAAATTTATGTAGATTTTAACATCTCATCATTATTTGCATCTGTGCCTCACTTATTAACATAATGGGAATGAAGACCTGTACAAACACAGGATGAATGAAGCAAATTGTGTCCCCTTTACATTTTTCTCATTAACATTGTGTTGATTGTTTTCTCAGAGAGAGAGGAGGCATGAGGAAGAGATTTTTACTGATTTCTCTCCTTTTTTAATGGATACTTTATTTGTACCTTTTTTCTCTCCTTCCAAAGGTTCTGGCAGTGAGTATTTCAATCAGTGTCTTTTTAAGCTTAATATTTCTGATACTCATAAAATGATTTCTGAATGTTAAAGGAGGCTAGCTTTTGACCCTTTGTCTTCATTTTTTAAAACCCTGTACTTCATTATGGCTTTATTATTAGTAAAAGAAAAAAAAGATAAACACAATGTGTATTCAGGTGTGTTAGTTTAGTTTGGAATCACTACAATACAGAGATGTGTGATTAGCGTGTGGTCTGATTTTATTGAAATTACTTCTTATGATGTTTCTTTGACTGTTCCATTATATTTTTATAGTTGATAAAAATAATTTGTATTACAATGATGTTTTAGCTTTATCTATTGATGTTATAGATATTTTAGTTAATCTGGCCATTTTCACTATTATATAGACTGTTTATAAATTTTATGAACTATAAAAGACCTATTCTGAAACATACCTTGCATAAATATAGGTTAAATGCATGTTGTAACAGCAGTAAAATTCATATGTGTGTAGAGATCATATTAGTGGCTTTTTGAGATTTCAGCAAAGGAGAGATTGGATCAAAAGTGTTTAGTATGAGTGATTAATATAAAAGAATATCTGTATTAATTGGTTGGTTATATAAGTCTTAATCCACTCTGGGCTGCAGGTGATTTGAAATAGCCTAGTTGTTAGGAATTCTTAATTTACATTGGGTTTAAAATTAGCCTGGGGCATATTTCTTAAAACATATTTTTTCTTTTAACATCATACCTAATTGTAGTGAGCAAAAAGTTTTCATTATGTACCACTGTTTATGTGAGCAAATTAAATACACAAAATAGTTTTGTGCCTGATAGCACATCAGGACATCCTGATAATTGTGTAATGCAATATTTACAGGTGTTTGCCAAATTAATGGGCACTTGCTTCCAAATTTCCAAGTCATGAAAAATGTATATTGATAAATTGTGTTGCAAAAGAATATTCAAGAAATATTTTGTTAAATTTAGCTATAACTGAAAAAACTCAATTACTTATTGACCTTTATAGAAGGGTTTAAAAGGCAATGTATTCCTTATTTCTGTAATTTCAGAGAGACTTCCATTTAGGAAAAAAAAACCAAAAGATCTGTTAAGTGTTCCTGTCTCTTTGAATTGTGCATGATCATTTTTATGCTAAACTGGGTTAGAGTGTGAGTTTTAACGGTAAATTTTTGTACTGATTTTTACCTACGAAGGTATATTTTAGAAAATATAGTAGTTCAAAATTAGTTGGAAAGAGTGGTTTCTACCCTCAAACACCAGATTTTGATAGATTGCCTTTTTATTCCTGACTACCACTGTCACATATATGCCTTGAATACAGGCTTCCAGTGGAGTTTGCGGATTAACAGGTGTTGGGGGAAGGGATGTGAGAGGGCGAAGCAGTAAAGATGTGGAAAGGTGGAAGATAAGTTTAGAAACATCAAGAACATTCCGAAAACCAACAGATTGGATCAGCTATCATGAATTCAGAGGACTGAAAAAAGAGAACTTTGGAGCTGTGTTTGTACATCAACTCTTTGCACATAAAGCAGTGCATTAACCAGGATTACAATTTAGTTTCTTTTATTTGACGTAAAAATCTAAAGCTAATTGTGGCAATACAGCTCTGATGTTTATAGGGATCCTTGTTGTCTTTTGCTATTCTTTATTACCAAAAAAAAAAAAAAAAGGATGGAATGGAAATTTTAGTTCCTTTTAGGTTATTTCAGCTAAAACCAAGTTTGTATTTTTCCCATTTTTATTTAGACTGCTATTTACTCAAAAAAG